CCAAGATTTGGAAGTGGTAGGAAATGACCTCTTACCCTTCTCTTGCTTTTTAGATCTTTAAGCCCTAAGCCACCCTAAATCTACTGTCCCTATAAAAAGCTGCATTTTAAAAGGCTTTAGGAGGCTTGCTGACCTTGCAACCTACTTTGTAAGGAGTCTGCACCCACAGCTATTAAACAAAATTAATTTCAGCACTTTTAAATTGTTAATCTTGCAAAAGACAACTTGCTTGCTCTCCAGTGATCCCACAGGTCATCGTTCTGTGAGCTGCCAGCCATCATCAGGGTTCATGGCTCTCAACATCATGAGAATGCTTGTGGTCTCCCAAATGCCTTGCAAAATTAATTCCTCTGCCTTCCATGTTTTCTCCCCAGCAGCTCTTAGAGATCTGGGCTCTTTTTGAGCTCATTGTGCATAGCAGCTATTCTCCAGTAGCCATGGCACAGATTATTCTTATTTTAAGGCTATTCTATCCTAAATCAGTTGCTTCTCAACTCATGGGAATGAACTTGGGATAGCAAGACATGAATTCAGGTAGGAAATGACAGTTTTGTCTTCAGAGTGTTATGGATTCTGTTGGAAAGGTGATGTCTTTAAGTTATGTTTCTCTATACCCACGAGGCTGATGTTTTACCAGGTATTAATTTATTTTGAATCTTTTAAAGTGTATTTTTTTCTGCCTGGCCGTGAAACTCAGAAACATTACCTTTTTTCTTCCAGGTAGCTATACATATGAATGCGCTGGGAGTGGGGGAGAAAGTGCATGCTGTATCTGGTATTATCATGCTTGGTTGTCCCTGCTCCTTCCACCTCTTTTGTCTCTGCCACTCAAGCCAATTTCAGCCATCCGCCGACTCTCATTTGGGATAATAGCCTCTCTTTTTACTGTTGTCTTGTCATGTTTGATTCGGCAGCACAAGGGTTTTAAATTAGCCAAAACGTTTGCATGCTGGGCTTACTCCGCTGCCACTACCAGTTGTAGAGCCACTAAACCACTTGATGCTGAAATTGATGATTGCTCGGAAGGAATAAGAAATTGGTGGTGGCTACCGGGAAGATTCATTCACGCCGAGCCCCTTTTAAGAAACCAAGGGGGGAGGGAGAGAGATTTCCTTCGGTTTCCTGCTGCCTGGCTGGTGGTTGCATTGTGCTTGTGCCAGGTTCCTGCTGAGTGATTACAGCCTTGCTAGGCTGCGTAGTTCCTGTGATTTCAACATAAAAACAGAAGAAGAAAAATATAGAGGGAAAGGAAGGGGGGGATAAAGCTCCAAAGACTTGCAGTTCAATTCAGTAAGGTAGAATTGTGATGTTTTAACTCACTACCTGCCTTTTAGTTGTTGTTATCTAATTTATTCCCCCCTGGCTAAAAGTTTACTTGTTAGAAGTTTTACCAAGTAGAAGAGTCTCTGTATCGGCCTGCCTGAGTTGGTGATACTAAAACACTGCTGGGCTGTAAGCAGTTTTTAATATTTTCTGGATTAAAAGTGATCCATCATCAGTGGATCAAGCGATCACTAAGAAACTATGCAAAACTTCTAATAACACCCCCAACATCCCCCCACAAATGCCTTTTACTTGTTTATATTAGTGTTTAAAGACATGGAGGGCCAGAATTTATAAGGGAAAAGAAGATGACAGCGCTTGAGAAGCTGTACACAGAGAAAATAAATGTAGGAATAAATGTGAACGACTAGGGTTGTACCATGAATATAATGATATTTCAGAACTACATGTAATCACATATGCAAAGTGAGAGAAGCATCTTTTATTTCTATTGAGTGGATTTCTTTTTGAAGTGGGAGTATTTTCTCATTTTAGTTTATTTTTTGTGTTCTACCACTAACTCCTGGGTTACAGCGATCAGAGGTGATCAGATGGTCAGAAAGGTCAGTAAGAGCCCCATGGACAATGGCTCAGGGTTTCCAAGTCCAAAGACAAACACAGTCTAGCAGAAAATAGTAGTGATTGTGATTTTAAAACAAAACAAGCAACCAAACCCTCTGTTAGCCATATATGCAAGTTTTCAGACAGTTAGAAACTTGGCTTCAGATATATAATTCATTATACAGTGTGCTAATAAGACCCTAAATAAACACACGGGAATACGATTGCGTAGCATCCAAGCCAAGAAAGATGTTCTCATTGGATCTAATATTCCTAACGTTGTTGTTACTAATATCCTAGCCCTCTTTTTCCTGATTACTAGGCCACATGTTCTCTTGCAAAATATGACCCTTTTCTGCCAAAAGGAAGAAAAAAAAAAATCTTGTAAATTTGAGGGTGTTGGCATCTAACTTTATTTACTTCACGTGTAATAAATCATGAAGAAATCATGTGAATTACTCAAGCTCTAAAAATACAAATCTACCTAAGAGGCTGAATCTCTGAGGCCCAGCAGTGGTGTGCTGCTGTGCAAGCCCAGCTCTAAGGGCTTCTGTCCGTGCCAATTAACAGTAGATTGGAAAGCCAGGAGACCATGATGGGTTTAGTCCTGTTATCTATCTGCTGCACCGTTCAGAATTGCTGATTTCCCTGTAAAATCATGACAGATGTATTACAGGAAAATATATTGGTCGAGTAGCTAGTGAGAGAGTTAATGCAAGGGATAATAAGTAGCTAAGGCTACATCCTCCAGCAGACTTTGATGTGGTTTGATAATATATGGGATAGGTCAATCTGCCCTATTAGCAAATGTAGCCAGTTTATGCTCTACATACAAACTAGAGATTTGATAAAGCACTAAATTAGTTTTCACAAGGTATTAGATGTTAGATACTTAATGGGATCATCATGCTTTTGCTACACTTGGTTAAGATGCGTTCTGTAACAGAAGCATGTGGCAGCATGACATTTCACCAGGAAAGGAAACATGTCTTGTGACTGAATCACGAGTCCGGGAATTATAACGTCCAGGCATCGCTTGGCTTCTGAATTAGCCTGTCCTACTTGCAGAGAGGTTTCTCTTTTCATATCTGCAGAATGGGACTGTGTCCTTCCATTTCTTCTTTGCCTCTTTGTGAAGCTTAAGCCGCCATTGCTTTATTTATCCTTGGGTTCCAGTAATCATAATTCTGTGAAGCTTCAATTGTACGAGATTACTACTGTCCCACTCAGTAGGTACTGGGAAAGTTCCTAGACTTAACTTCAGAGATTTTACAGGTTCAAGCAAATCTGGGTAAGAAACTGTAATAGGTTGTGTAAGGAGCTCAGGGTTTTGGTGTTGTGCTCCACAGCTGCACTCTGTATTTCCTCTGTGCCAATAGTTAACTAGTAATTTAATATGTGAACTAAACCCAATAGTTTAGTGAAGCCAGTAACATTTGTGTAGTCAAAAATCCATTGGCAAAATACGTCATGTGAGCACAACATCCTTGCCTTTACATACCTGTCCCTGTTCTACCAGTGGGGAATGAGGGTGAAGAAGGCAAGTTTCCTGAGTCTGTATGGCAAGTCAGTCTGAAATAGGTCCTTGGTTTGAGCACTGCCTTTATCTGAGCTGGTGTTTGGTCCACTGAAGTAGGCAGTTTGGTTACTTGGTAACACTTTTTTAAGCTTTCTTCCTTCACTATGAAAGAGCAAGCTGTACAAATTACCTCTTTTTTTATTTATTTTATTTTTTTTAAGTGCTGTGCTTTTTGTCTTGTTAAATTAAAACCTAAAACTACTGACAGTAGTGTATGCCCACAGCTACCTTCAGAAAACTATGCTTTAAAACCCATTAAGTGTTTTGTATTTCTCACACAGATCTAATTTTTTTTGCTGATGTTGTTTTTCCCTGTGTTTACAGATACTATTCTTAAATACATTTGAAATGCGTCATTTAACTTTTTCTAAAATCTCACTACATATGCAAGTAACCAGTTTTGAACGACCACTGCCAGGCTTTACGCTTTTAGCACTAGAGGAGACATTCCTGCCTTTTTGTGAAATGCAGCAGGAGTGTCATATATAAAATGATCCTGTTTGAAAGGATAGAAGCCGTATCCCAATATAGATCACAGTGGAAAATGACTCAAAATTACATGACATCTTCTCCCCCATTTACCTTCCTCTTCCCGCCCCTTCCCTTTCTCAGCCTGTTTCCCAGTTGGGCTGTGGTAAGAAATACATTGTATATTGTGACAGTTCACTGTTACTATAATCCCTTTGCATCTTTCGTTAGTGTGTTATTTATAGGATTGCAAAAGGGCATTGGTACCGCTCAGCCTCTGAAGTGGTACTGCTGATGTCCCAAGGACTGAGTTGATTTTAAAAGGGGCTGGGTTGTACCCTGGCATTGGTAGCAAGCTTGCCTAGCTGCAGCAGAGGCCTGTGTCACACTTTGGGCTGAAATCCTATGGTTTAAAACCCGCTGAGGCCAGCGTGGACTTTAGATGCTTGTATAAACAAGAAGACTTTGCCTCATAACTCCTACTAAGCCCGCACCTGATGAGCTGCTCAGAGCTGGAGGACTGTGTTTTCCCTAACAAATTCCTTCTTTTGAACCCACTTGTTAGTCAAGTGTTGTGCACACTAACTACAGCGAGGGCCCTGGGCATAAATTACTCTCGCGTGGCACTGTCTCCGAGCAGCCCCCCAGTTATGGATTACTTTGTTCTCGACTTGACAGGAACATAATTAGAACTGTTGATGAAATCTACCAAATTGTTCCTCCGTGGCCTCAATGGTCAGGAAATTTGGCTGAGTCGTATTTGTCACCGACGTAAAGGCTCTAAACACTTCATATTAACTATGTTATTAATGTGCCCTCTAATCTGTCCGTGAATTGGTAACACTTGGAGGGAGCTTGTGCTCTAATAGCACCTTGTGATGAATTCATTGTAATGCTGTTCAAAAGTTTCTGGAGGGTGGGAGGAAAAAAAAAGAAACCTTAATAAAAAGTGAACGCATCTAGGTAGTTTCTTTTTTCAGTATATGCATTTTTATGTTTTGCAGTTTTGTTTTGTTTAATTGGAGATTCATTTAGGCTTTACATTGACAGACCGTTTTCTGTTCTATAGGATTTGCTGACATTTGGGCTGTTTCATTGCCAGAGGAGGCTTTGTGTGTCCCAAAGGAAGTGAGTGATCTGGCCATAACAAATCCTGCCAAAATATTTTAACACCGTTACGATTTTCTAATGCAATGCGTAGTGAATGTGACTAGAAAAGGATGGTGAGTCCATGAAGGGGGTTCGCTCCCTCTCCTCTGCGATTTGTCTGGTGAAATGAGCACGCAGGAGCTGCTGGGGGGGGGGAGGTGGGAGACCACAGCCAGCAGTGTGGGGATTGTTTGCCTCCTGAATTGTATTACTTCAGACACAGCAATGGCTCATGCTTAATCTTGAAACCAACCTTTTAAATTTTGGTCCTGCTCTTGAACCTTCCTAGAGTCCAGGGTGACCAGAGACAGCGTTTTAGTTATGTTTAAAAAATGCATTTTGGCTGCTGTAAACGTTCAGTAAGTTTAAAAAAAGGAAATGTGTTAGAGAGAGATTAGTGGCTGAAGGTCCTAGAAGTTCACAAGCTGCTGTCTTTGGTAAAACAGACTTTTACCGTCAAAACAACGGGCTGTCTCATACTTTCGTGTAGTTTTGAAGAACACTAAGGTGACTCTTAACTATATAAGCAACTGTGCTTAAGGTGCTAGAACACAAAAATTAGAGTTCTCACATGTAGTGTTCAGGGGATGAAGACAATTCAGACAACCTAATGATTAGCTTAGAGCTGGAAGTATAAGAAAACAAAAATTTAGATCCCTGAGCTACTCTCTAAAGCAGCAGGTAAATTAACTGCTGGTTTTTAGCACCTTGGAAGTTGCTCCACTTGAGCAGATCCTTCCACTTCTACTGAATGGCCCCAGGTTTCTGACTGGGTTGAGCTATTTGCCCCTGACCTGTGTTGTCAGGAGCTCAGATGAGCCTAAATAAAGTCAGGCCTTTTACTGTTGATGGTGTTTCCCACTTGGATGTTTCTCTATTTGTTTGCCTTTGAATACTGAACAGAACTGCAAATCCTCACACTCATCTCCTAAGCTCTTCTTCAGGTTTTGCTGGGCTCACACAAACTGCCTGTTCCCTGTGGTCACTCTATATGTTATTTCCCAGGTCCCGGGGCAATGATGCTCTCACCAGCAGGAGGGAAGTGTTAGCCTGGAAGTTAGGACTTTGAGACTTCATTTTATGAGCTTAATATTCATAAATGAAATGGGAATCTAACTCTGCACTTTTCTCATGCACATCTATTTCTAGTAATGAGCAATTTAAGTATTTTTTTTTTAATATGTAGTTACCATCTCTGGAAATCAGGACCAGAATTCAGGATGCTTAAAGTAGGTGTTAGTGCATACAGATATTCTGTTGATGAATCTATTCTTAGAAAGAAGTAGACCAGTACATTCCCTGGATCTGTTTCTTTTCACTGCTTTTTGTCTCTTTTTCTCTCTCAGTTCATCTTGTCTAAGTTTATTCTTCTATTCTTTAATTCCACCTCACCCTTTAATTCATTTCTACCAAAGCCATGGGCTCTTGAAGGGCTTTCTAAATTATTAGATCTTGTTACTTATTTGCAGTGTGTTCAAAACTGAATTACATTTTCTTTTTTCATAGTCTTGTTTTATCAGTGTTCTAAAGTGGGACATTATTTGGGGAATTCTTCCCCAAAAGCATTTTTTATGGTGTCCTGGCTGTACTTCATCTGGTTTTCTAATATGCATTTGCTACTAAAAATTTTTCTATAAACAAATGAGTATTGTATTACCCTGCAATGTTATTAATTTTCAGGGGTTTGGGTTGTTTTTTGTTTTTGTTTTTTTTTAGTTTCTAGTGGAAATGTCATGATATGCATCCTGTACATACAAATCTAATTGGTCATTCAGTAGACCAAAATGCATGAGGAACAGAGCTTAATCCTGATTTCACTTGTTGTTTAAAAGTAGGAAGTAAAATTACTACTGTAGAAACCAAGGCACTTAGTCAAGTGAGGGAGGAATGGGAGTTTTAATATCAGAACTGGGTCCTGGAATATTAATTTGGTAAAACTGTATACTCTCACAGTGTCAGCTGTGGAGACCATATGCCAGGAGATGTTCATGTTTGAAATCAGGTTATGTAGTTAATCATTCTAAGAAATAGACTTATCACTTCATAAACTCTAGGAAAGACTGTTTTCTTTTCCAAACATTTAAATTACTGAGCCATTTTATACATTAAAACCCAATTATAACTAACATGGTATTTCAAAGAGCTTTCAAACCTATATCTTTTAGGAACTGTGCATAGTCTGAGGCTTTTGCACTGAGTAGTTCATATTTTAAACCATATCCACTGTGGATTTTTTTCCTACCTAATTGGGGTTTCAAGAGTGTCCCTTACTGGGCTAATGAGTACAAATCCCATTCAGCGAGTACCACCATTAGAACATGCTGCATGTACCCTAAAACTAGCAAACTGAAATCCCAGTGGGGCCAATGAGCTCCAGAATATAGCTTAAAATACTTTGTTTCCTTTCTGTAAGATAGTAATGACCAGGTTAAAGTAAGGGTTTATTCTGTCACCTCTTTTCTGCCACATTACGCAGACTGTGTGCAAAACGCATTCAGAGAGAAATAAAAATCAAAATATGTTGTAGGATTTTAGGGAACAAGATGTACCTGCTACTGAATAGAAAAACTTGATTCAAACACCACTTTCTGGCTTCTTCTGGCCAACTTAGTACTTGAGCTAGACATCAGTTTCAAAAAAATATACTGTCCAAAACTCCAGAATAATCTTTCATCTTATTGATTTACATGCTGATTTATCAGCAGAAAAGTGTATGTGAATGAAATCATGCTAATTTTGTTAGGAAATGACCAATGTGTTTGTATATAATACAGTAGCCAGGGAGTCTGTTATGAATATGAAGACATAAAAGATGCACGTGACACTAGTGCCACGATGAGACTGCTTACCAAAGGCACCCTTTTCCTGAGTATAGCAAGTTATTCCCACAGCTGTTGGGAATTAATAGGACAGTGTTTGGTAAACATTATATTTCCAAATCAAGGCTTAACTACCGTGGATATCAAGGAAAATTAGGTTTATAATATGGAAAAATTCTACTTTAAAGGCCAAATAAGAGACAGAATTAGGTTTCAAAATCAGAAGCTGCTTTATAGATACTGTTATGGACCCAGGATCCCAGTATAGGAAGAAACAAAGCTGTTTGCTTTTACAAAAAGAAATAAAAGGGGATAGGTGGTTTCTCACCCCACTAACTCTGTATCTTGCAGTAGAGTTGAAGTTGAGAGGAGGCCTGGTGCTTCTGTTCATGAAGAGACTGTAAGAATGAAAGGTCGCAAAGATATTAGAATTTACTAAGTAAAGTCATACTTGTCAATGGCTTCTCTTGCTATATATTTGAAGTTCAAGTGCTTGTTTGCTTTAGTTAAGTGCTCTGAAGTGCTTTTAAAACTGTTGGCCCATTTATATAAACAAATTGAGAAACTCATTGATAGTCTTCCCAGTCAGATTGTATTACCCAATATTTGGATATCCTTCCTTGAGTCCGAAAAAGACTTCCAGTAACAACTTCTAATACACGTGAGTCTTTGTTAATGGAGTATTGTATTATATTTTATTATTTTATCACGGACATTGCCAGAAATGCAGTTTCTCAGTTGCACACAACCATGAGGAAATAGAGGGGAGTCAGTAGCTCAGAAACTTATTTGTCCAGAACTTAAGTGTGACTTGAGAAGAAGAGTAAGCTGGAGGCCTGACTTCCTTTTAGAACATTTACAGTAGAGAATTAATGTTTACTTCTCTCCCACAGTTGTTTTTTTCTCCTGCTCATCTTTGCTAACTCAGGAATCTCTTTTAGTGCTCAGAGTCAGGCAACCAAATTTAAACATGTTCTCAAAACATGGGATAGTCTTGTTTGCACACATGTGACCACTTACAGAAAGAAAGGAAACTACCAACACTAACTGTTGGTGAAGCTGAAGACTGGGATGGTATCTACATGCTTCCCCATAGTGTTCCCTACCAGTCAGTATTGTAGTGCTTCCTTACTAGTTGTTCTTGTGGTAACAGCTGTACCATCACAACATTGCTCTTCTGGAGTGATGTCCTGTAACATAATGATACCATTGTGATACTTGACAGCTAAGAATGTCATCAGCAACTACCCCTCAAAATGCAATATAATGTGAGCAATAGGGATGTAGCTGAGTGCTATCTTAAAACTAAACCTGCATCTTTCATTTTTAAAAAAAAAGGCAGTTTGTCCTAATAATTTTAATCTGCATGTGCTGTCTTTTTACCTACCTTTTGTACTGTCTGTGAGATTCAGGGGGTGTCATAAGCAGGTGAATTTAGAGCTGTTGCTAATTTAAACTGCATTTAATAAAACACAAGTTTGAGATATCTTACAAATCAGTGAATGTGGCATAGTTTGAAGATTGCTTTTGTCAAGTTTGATTAGCTCAAAGAGAAACCTTTTCTAAATATTGGCTGAGAGATTAATCTGGCAATGTAAGACCTTGAATTATTCCTCATCACAGGAAAACAACATAATGTATTATCAGGAAAATGTAACTTTTGAGGATTTAAAATTCATGTTTTAAAGATTGAACCCAAGACAAAACTTTCGGGCTGTTTTTTTTTTTTGAACTGACTTTTAATTTTTCCATATTATATTTCACTTTCTACAGTGTATTCCCATATTACAAGCTGATAGTACCAACATCATTACATTGAGGAATGTTCTCATTATTGACTCCATTCTCAATTAATTATAAGTTTGTCATGTTTTAATGAGTAGGATTAAACTTTCCTATTCCAAATATATGTCTTGTGTTGCTTGCTTAGAAGCTTTCTAAAGAATGTGGTTCAACCACTTCTCTGAATCTGTACAAGGAAACAAAATAGTCTTTGTGCACATTAAAAAGTATTTACTGTATTTACAAGCACCTGTAGAAAAGATTTGATAGCTCTCTGCTTTGGAACAAAGTATGGTATTTGGGCAAAAGCTTTACTTCTCTTTTCTAGCCTTCACTGTCACAAACAGTTGTTGTTTTCACTAAAATAAAAACTCATATAGCTATGTGTTATGTCCTGTAAAATAAAGGATAGCAAAAGGAAGAGTAGCACTTATGTATTCCAGGCATACCCTAGTATTCACTGGGTGCTCTTC